TCTCCAATCCCCACTCTTTCCCCCCCCAGGCTCCCCGGTGACCCCCCCAGTGCCGGCGGCGGTGCCGGCGGTGCCGGTGGAGGTTTCTCTGCGGCCCCCGCGCTCTCTCCGGGCCAGCCAGACCCCTCGGGGGGTTCTGCTGCGCTGGGAGCCCCCCGGGCCGGGGGTGGGGACGCCGGGGGGGTCGGTGGTGGCAGCGGGGGGGTCGGGGGAGGCGCCGGAGCCCAGCGGGTACGCGCTGGAGCTGCGCCAGGACGGCGGGCACTGGGAGCTGCTGCAGCGCCACATCCCCGGCACCCACACACAGCTGCTCGTGCCAGGCCTCATCAAGGTGAGGGCACCGGGAAATGATGGAATTAAGGGGGTTGGGGGTGATGGAATGGGTGTGGGGTTAACGGTGGGGATAGAATAGATAGATGTTGTATTAATTATTTTGTATTAATTTGTATTAATTATTTATAGATGTTGTATTAATTATTTATATAATTACGTGTATAATTATATATTATAGATAATATAGATAATATAGATAATAGATAATAATATAATGATATATATAATATACTCTATATAATAATATATAGAATAATATATATAATAATATATAGAATAATATATATAATAATATATAGAATAATATATATAATATATATAATAATATATATAATAATATATAGAATAATATAGATAATAATATATATAATATATATAATAATATATATAATATATATAATAATATATTATATATTATATATATAATATATAATAATATATAAAATAATATATAATATATATAATAATATATATAATAATATATAACATATAATATATATAATAATATATATAATATATTATCTATAATAATATAATATATAATATATAATATGTAATATATATTATACTATAATAATATAGAATTATTATTATATTATAATAATATACAATAATATAATACACTATATTATATATTATATATAATTATATGTACTATTATGTATAATTACATAGTATATAATATATAAATATAACAAATTAACTTAAATCAAAAACGAAATTAAAAAAATGAAAATCGTTTAAAACAAAGAAAATCCGCTCTCTGAGCCGGCACCTCTGGAAATGATTTTTAAAAAAATGGGTTCAAATTAAAATTAAAACCCCCTGTAATTAACTGACGTTGAAAAACGAACTGGAATTGCCAAGTCAATAAATGGCTTTTTCGGGGCCTCTTTCTCTCCCCCCAGGACGCCTTGTACGAGTTCCGTTTGGTGGCCTTGGCTGGCAGCTACATCAGCGACCCCAGCAACGCTGTCAACATCTCCACTGCAGGTCAGGGACACGGGGGGGACACAGGGGACAGGGACACGGGGTCAGGGACATGGGGGGGACACAGGGGACACTGGGCTGGCAGCTACATCAGCGACCCCAGCAACGCTGTCAACATCTCCACTGCAGGTCAGGGACAGGGACAGGGACAGGGACATGGGGACAGGGACATGGGGACAGGGACAGGGACACGGGGACAGGGACAGGGACATGGGGACATGGGGACAGGGACATGGGGACAGCAGGGGACACAGGGGACACTGGGCTGGCAGCTACATCAGCAACCCCAGCAACGCTGTCAACATCTCCACTGCAGGTCAGGGACACGGGGGGGACACAGGGACACAGGGACAGGGACAGGGACATGGGGACAGGGACAGGGACAGGGACACAGGGACATGGGGACACGGGGGACACAGGGGACAGGGGGACATGGGGACAGGACAGGAGGGGACCCAGGGATACAGTGGGGACAGAAGGTGACAGGAAGTGACTCAGGTGACAGGAGGGGACAAGAGGGAACCCAGGGATACAATGGGGACAGGAGGTGACCCAGGTGACAGGAGGGGACATAGGGGACAGGAGGTGACCCAGGTGACACTCACTTGGAGAGACCAAGACCTGTGAGGCCACCAAGACATGGAGGGTTAACCAGGGACAACATAACGGGGACAGGAGGGGATCCAGGGGACAGGAGGGGACAGGAGGGGATCCAGGGGACAGGAGGGGACAGGAGGTGACCCAGGTGACAGGAGGGGACAGGAGGGGATCCAGGTGACAGGAAGTGACCTAGGTGACAGGAGGTGACCCAGGGGACATGGAGTTCCAGGAGTTGTCCTGATCCACCTTGGGCAGGTGATGGAGCTGTGGGGCTTTGCTGTGTCCCCACTCTGCTGGTGACACGAGTGGGGCTGTGCCCCCTGCCATGGCCACAGCTCCCCCGGGGTGGTCAGTCCGTGTCCCCCCCTCCCCGGTGCCCGCGGTGCCCGCGTTGCCCGCGGTGCTGACGGGCATCCCCCACCCTCCCAGGCATGGAGGTGTACCCGTCCCGCACGCAGCTGCCGGAGCTGCTGCCGCAGCCGGTGCTGGCGGGGGTCATCGGCGGCATCTGCTTCCTCAGCGTGGCCGTCATCTTCAGCACCACGGCCGCCTGCCTCATGAACCGCCGGCGCGCCAAGCGCGGCCGCAAGCGCCGACAAGGTACCCCCCATCCACACCTCCCACACCTCCCACACCTCCCACACCTCCCACACCTCCCACATCCCCATCCCGGTGAAATCCCGGAGATCCCGGCGAGATCCCGGCCATCCCGGCGCTCCCGGGGGCGGGGGGTGGTCGAGGGAGGGAGGGAGAGGGAGGGGAGTGGCCCCAGCTGTTGTCGCCTCACGGTCCCGTTTTGTGTGTGGTGTGACGTCCCCGTCGCCTTCCAGACCCGCCACTCGTGTTCTCCCCCAGCAGGAAGCTGCCACCGCCGCAGTAAGTCACGCCACGGCCATGCCACGCTCACTGTCACCTCTGCCATGGCCATGCCACCCTCCCTGTCACCCCTGCCACGGCCATGCCACGCTCCCTCCCTGTCCCCTCTGTGTCCTGCCACGGCCATGCCACCCTCCCTGTCCCACTCTTGTCCTGCCACAGCCATGCCACGCTCACTGTCCCACTCCTGTCCTGCCATGTTCCTTGTCCCCTCTGTGTCCTGCCATGCCACCCTCCCTGTCCCCTCTGTGTCCTGCCACGCAATGCCACACATCCTGTCCCACTCCTGCCATGCCACACTCCCTCCCTGTCCCACTTGTCCTGGCACACTGCCTGTCCTGCCACCCCGTGCTACGCTCCCCTGCCCATCCCACTCCTTCCCTGTCCCACTCCTGACCATGCCACACTCCCCATCCCACTCCCTCATCCCACTGCCTCCCATCCCATCCCATCCCATCCCATCCCATCCCATCCCATCCCATCCCATCCCATCCCATCCCATCCCATCCCATCCCATCCCATCCCATCCCACTGCCCTCCCCATGATTTACCTGCCACTGGCTGGGAGCACAGGGACAGCCTGGGGACAGCCTGGGGACAGCTTGGGGACAGGTTGGGGACAGCTGAGGGACAGCTTGGGGACAGCCTGGGGACACCCCCGTCCCTGCCCCTGCCCAAGGCCGTTATGGCCGGGGTTCTGGGGGTCAGCACCGCCCCAAAACTCTCCCCGCGGGGACAAAGAAGGGGACAAGGCAAGCTCCGCGGGGGGAAGGGGGGTGGGTGTGTCCCGTCCCACCCACCCGCGGGTGCTGCAGCTCCGGCTCCGTCCGTGTGTGTTTGTTTGTGTGTTTTTGTGTCCCCTCCAGCCCTGCTGGTGTCCCCGGCAGCCCCGACAGCGCCGTGAAGATGAAGCTGCAGCCCTCGCCGTGCCAGAGCCTGCAGCGGGCGCTGCTCTGGGGCGAGAAGGCGGGCACCAGCCTGGGGCTGAGCATCGCGGGCACCGCCACCGCCTTCCCGGGGACCCGCCAGAGCCCCCCGGACCGGGATCTGCTGCCCCTCGAGCGGATCCGCCGCGGCCCCGACGGCCGCTTCGTGCTGGAGAGCGACCCCCCCCCTCCTCAGCCCGCGGACCCCCCGGAGGAGCCCTCCGGCCGCCAGGAGGAGGAGGAGGAGGATGATGATGAAGAGGAAGAGCCCGTGTGGCGCAGGGGGGTCTCGCTGCGCCCCCACCCCGCGGGGCAGCCCCGCCGCACCAGCGACCACCGGCACGGGCGTTATTTCGGCTACGGGGGGAGCAGCAGCAGCCCCGCGGCTGAGGAGGGGGCCGGAGCCTTGTGCATCATCGACGTGAGCCCCGTGCCCACCAGCACCATCACCAGCACCATCACCAGCACCACCAGCACCACCACCCTGCCTTACAGCCCCGCCCGGGAGCCCCCCGAGCCCCCCCCGGGCCGGGCCGCCCCCCCGGCCATCAGCGGGATCCTGCAGTACCTCAGCCTGCCCTTCTTCAAGGAGATGTGCGTGGACGGCGAGTGGCCCCCCCAGGACGAGGAGGAGGAAGAGGAGGAGGAGGAGGAGCCCGGGGACCCCCCCCCATCCGCCACCGCCAGCCCCCCGCCCGCGCCGTGCCCGGACTGCATCGACACAAGTGCCAACGCCACCTCCCCCCTCGCCACCACCACCATCACCACCAGCACCCCCCTCCTCCTGCAGCCCCCCCTCCTGCCCCTGGGACCCTCCAAGGCGTCGCTGCCCGGCTCTCCCGCCTGGCCCCGCTGTGCCCCCCCTGTCCGGACTGAGCCCCCCCCCGAGAAGGTGCCTCGGGGCAGCCTGACCAGCCAGAGCAGCGGCCGCGGCAGCGGCTCCTTCCTGCGGCCCCCCTCGCTCGCCCCGGCCCTGGGGGGCACCTTCCTGGGCACGGCCAAGAGGTGAGACGTGGTGGG